CCTGTTTTTCGTCTCCATCAACATTTTTTCCGAATCGACCTTTGCGCAACTTGTCCAGGCCCTTTTGTCTAGCCGTACCGCCTCCATGGAACACGAGCTGGTTTTCCTCGACGACTCTCCACAAGCGAGCGGTGCGATCTCTTGCGCCTACACTGACACAAGTCTCCTGATTGAGCTCCAGCCCGCCTGCTACACCAATGACAGCGTCCTGATGTCCGACAAGCGTCTCAATATATGCTGATTCCGGCGCGCTCCAGACAATGACAGCTCGGTCCGCACCGCCAGAGAAGAGTTGTTCGGTGCCCCTTCGGAAGGACAGAGAGAGGACGGCGTCTCGATGGCGAGTGAAGAGGTGACGGGGTGTAAGAGTGTCGGCGTCCCAGATGATCAGGCGAGCATGCTTGTCGCCAGTGGCCAGGTACTTTCCCGAGTCGGAGACAGCAATAGATACGATCTCGCCCGTGTGGCCCAGGAAGGCGCGGTCGCCTTTTTTGTTCTTGTTCCCTTTCCGCCAGAGGAGCCTCTTTGGTGTGGTGCGCGGCGTCAAGTTGGACGGTCGGCTGGGGTCAGGCGCATACGACTTTGGGTCAGCGATTTCCCACTTCTCGACGACAAGATCTTTGCTGATGGTCCAGGCATACGGCAGCTTGACGGCACATCCTGTTGTAGCTTTTTGCAGCCCCGAGTAGCCGGTGGCATGCGATGCATGCTCAAAGTCAAGCTCGGTGGCAATTGACCTGTAGATCTTGCCCTTTCCCTCTGCGACGTCTTCTTTTAGTCGCTCAGCGATGAGGTCTTTGTCAATCTGCTCGGCGTCGAAGCCCACTTCCTCCTCGACTTCGTTGCGAATGTTCTCGAGGTAGCGCTCTGCCAACCTGAGACGCTTTTCCGCCGCAGTCTCGTTCTCATCTTCAGAGGTGGTGGAGCCGCCGTCTGCGTCGTCTTCGTCGTCGTCGAAGGTGGGTGCGCCGTCGCCGTCGGATTCGTCGCTGCCACTGATGGACTCTTCTCGCTGGGAGCGACGAGCATGCGCGTCCGTGTTGCGACGTTTGGGGGCGCTGGCTGCGACTTCGCCGCGCTTCCGTTTCCGTTGCGAGGCCGGCGTGGTGAAGAAAGACGACGACATGGTTGTGGTTGCCGTTTGACCTGCGCGGAAGAGATCTGTGTAGTAGGAATTGTCTTGGCTAGAAACTTTTTGCGGACCCTAACGCCAAGCAAGACCTCCGTCATGCATGGGTTCGCGTCTTCCGACTGTACCGTGTTCACATGTGAGGATCGCCAACTCGACACGACATGCGCTGCATTCGGCGCCGCTCGACACGCCAATTTGTCTTCTCGCAGTGATTTCTGCATTGCACTGCATCGCATTGCACCGCACGTACAATTGGCAGAGCGGTTCGCTAACAGACACAGCGCAAACACCGCTGCCAACCCTCGGCCACTGTCGCCTCATATGACTTGAATGTGCGTGCATCCACGATAAACTCTTGACCATTGTGCCGCGCGACTTCCCTGTAGTCGTGCAGGCACAAGCAACAGAGCAAAGGTCATGATGGCGCAAGAGACGGCACCGCCAGACTCGCCCTTGGATGCGTTTGCGCCTGCGCCCGACGACATCGAACAACTCGACCAATTCCGCCGTTCGCCCCACCCGTACTTGCATCATAGAGATCAGCTACGGAGACGGTCGCCAGATCCGGCGCACGACGTTTCTCTGCACTCGCAATCGCAATCGCAAACCCCGCCTCGGCCCCTAGACAAGACCATGAGGAAAACGCCGTCACAATCACCAAGTGAAAGCGGCACCGAGGCCGACGACGAGGGCTGCAGCCTTGTCAAGGCACTGCCTGCTCCTCCCTTGCGACCGCACAAGGGCCTCCGTGAGTCCCAGGCATTGGGCACAGAGGCGTGGGCGAGCCCCCTCCTCACCCCCACACAGATTGACGATGAGGGGAGGAAGCTCTCCGAGGGCTACTTCGCTCGCAACAACAAGACGAGACGCAAGGGAGACGTATACCATAGCGACGACGAAGCGAGGGCGGCCAGGCAGAGATACCTCCAGCGGCGGCGCAACGAGCTGGTCAGGAGAACGACCGAGACTGCATTGCTTGCGGGCATTGCCGTCCTGGCTGTCCGTGGTTGCGACTGCTGGACCAAACTGCTGGCATGGCATAGAGGTCAGTCCGCATCCCTTGCCTGCGCCAAAGTATGCTGACCTGTGTCTAGTAGAGCTGTTGACACACTGTTCTGTCATGGCTGGCGTTTTGGGGCTATATCCGCTTCGGCTTCTGTACTACTCATGGAGAAATCACTCTCAACTCCGGCTTGGCCGTCAAATACATCTACCAGCCGCCTTCGATCCGGCCACTATCCTCTACCCCCCAATATTGCCCGTCCTGATTGCGATCTCCCTGTTTGCCTCATCGTCAAAGCCCCTTCTACCCAACATGTTGCTTGGACTAGCCGCTTTACCAGCCAGGCTTGTTCCTTTCAGAAGCGCTACCTTGGGCTACTCTCCTCTGCACTGGCTGATATCCATCATGCCCCTGATCGTTTCAGAGAACACCGATATACCCTCTCGGCTGTTTGCACAGACACCATACAAGCTCAAGTTACCCCCGCCTAACCAAGGTGTAGACCCAGAACTTCTGGTGATGTTATTCCCCTTGCATCAGGCGCTACTACCGCCCTTGTACTATCTCACCACGACGAGCCTTTTGCCAGCCGAGTTGCATTTGCTTTCCATTGGGCTCATCAACCTCCTCTTATTCTCGGAAACTCCTCAAGCAACCATACTCACTGTCTTGCTGTGGCTAGGCGGGCTGGGTGTTTTCTTGCTTTGCGGCAGGATCTTGAAGTGGGGTGTTGCACTTGCACGCATTCCGCGATGGAGGCTTCGGCGTGCTGGCCAAGTCATCCGAGCTCGACAGAATTTCTTGCAGGTCCTGAACCACAGCCTGGGTTCCAGGCGCGGCGGGAGTGGTTCGGTGAGAAATGCGAGTGATAGTGATGCGGATGAAGAAGATCCTGCATTTGAAAATGCTCTCCACAAGACTAAGAGTCTGAAAGTCAACATTCTAGATTCTGCGAAACACAGCAGACTTCGCATGGACGGCGATGAGCCACGATCCGCGGTTGAAGCGACAAATACGGGCTTTCAGCAATCGAATGGTGGCGAAAGAGCCAACCATAGCAGCGGACGCAGGCGAAGGAACACCCTTCCAGTTCTCGTCGCTGAAGACCATACATCAAAGCATCAGTACTCGAGTCGAAAACGATCGAGATCAATTGTGCAGTCCTACCTGTCGCTCACACCGACCGAGGCCACCATGAGGAAGTGGTTGTACGCAGGATACTTCTATGCGATTGTAGTCGCGCTAATACTTGGACCAATTCGGTATACTATCGGCGAACATGCTCTCCACCACAACGAACCGTTTGGATGGGCCATCAGCTACCTCTTCGGCAATGTACCACGCGTGCGATGGGAGGTGTTCCAGTGGAATTTGGACTGGTGGGTCCCACTACCGACGAGACTGGATTCTGACGACATGCTCGAATCCGCACAACATCTATCACCTGCGGAGTATGTGCGTTTCTTAGTGGTAGGCGAAGCAAACACACGTCTCTTGCTGTGCTTGTACTGTGCCGGAACTATCATTGCCGGCCTTGTTGCAGTCTTCTCACTTTCCGCGGTTGTAGAAGTCGATACGCGCAGAAAGGTGTTCCATGGCACCATGGTCGCGATGCTTCTTCCGACCATCTTCATCGATCCTTGTTTTGTCGCACTAGCCCTTGCGTTGGTGCTTGCGATATTTCTCCTTCTGGATCTGATTCGTGCCTCGCAACTGCCACCACTGTCGAAACCCATTGCTAGGTTCCTCACGCCGTACGTAGACGGTCGTGATCTCCGGGGTCCAGTAGTAGTATCACACATCTTTCTCCTCATAGGCTGCGCAATACCGCTTTGGCTATCGCTCGCAGGTATAGAACGGGCTGGCGATGAGCCATGGCAAGGGTGGGATGTCAAGGATAGGGATGTGAGTATGGTGGCAGGGGTGGTTTGTGTTGGCATGGGCGACGCCGCGGCATCTCTCATCGGCCGTCGCTACGGACGGCGGAAGTGGCCATGGGCCGGCGGCAAGTCACTCGAGGGCTCCCTAGCATTTGCATTTGCAGTGTCGATAGGGCTCGTTGTGAGTAGAGTCTGGCTTGACGTTGGGTGGGACAGTGGCCAGGCAGGGCAGAAGACAACGAGCGAGTGGGTACAAGACGCACTGCTCATGGTCGGCAAGGCAGGTCTATGTGCGGCGGGGGCGAGCCTCAACGAGGCGGTGCTCACAGGCGGAAACGACAATGTGATAGTGCCAGTCATACTATGGGCTCTTGTGAGGGGTGTCAGGCTGTAGGCAACGGACTCAGCCGCATCAGGCGGGATGCAGGTACGCAATAGATAGCCTGGTATACTAAAACACCATGCACATGGCCATTTGCGCAGGGGAGCATGACTTGCATCTACAGCCTCGAGACAATTACGTCAGAGTTGGGCGAGACGAAGTAGTGCTGGTGGAGGTCACGTCGGCGGCCAAATGAGGGGCTATGGGTCAGCGATATGCCCCATACTCTACGCTCTGCAACTTATCCATGGCAGCCACGGACCATGACAAGCAAATCCGTCGAACCCGATGAGCGTGTCCAGGAGGCTATTGCAAGGAGATTGAACAGAGTTTGGTCGACGTTGTCCTAGTTGCAGTAGGATAGTTGTAAGGTAGGTTCTGAGGTTCCAAGCTAGCGGCGAGCACGCGTTATCGGCACGTGCGGCCATAGACGTCCCGCGCGCCTCAGACTACCGCCTACTGACCACTACCTACTATCCCGCTGCATGCTTTCGCTCTCCTAATCTCTTAACCCTCTCCGCCGCTCTGCTTTCTTGTATCCAATCTCACGTATTCCTCGCTCATCTGCCCATCGCGCCCGCATACTCGTTGCCGCCACCGTCGCGTTCACCACCACGACCATCCCTCAGCGCTATCGATAGCCCGACCACGACGATAGCTCATGTCCAACGCCCTCACGGCCACGCTATACCCACATCTTCGCTGGTAGCTGACGACTGGCTACATAGACACCAGCAGCCTCATCCGGGCCCCGGCTGCTCAGCCAGCGCCGCCTACCATGGCCTCACCCCCAAACCCGCACGCCCCACGGCGGTCGGGTGCATCGCCGTCGACGTCGTCACCCGCTGCCACAGGCTCGGAGCAGATTATCGGCAAGTTCAAGCGCTTGCATCACATTGGCAAAGGCAGCTTCGCCGAAGTCTATCGTGGCATCCACATTGTACGTTGCTGCCCTCACTCTCAAGCATGCATCGAGTGCTAACTGCGTCCTTGTACAGGAGAAACGGCAGTCGGTCGCCATCAAGTCGGTCAACATGAACAAGCTGAACAAGAAGCTCAAAGACAACCTCGTCTCGGAAATCACCATCTTGCGCAGTCTGCACCACCCACACATCGTGTCGCTCATCGACTGCCACGAGACGCCATCGCGCATGCACATTATCATGGAGTTTTGTGAACTCGGCGACCTGTCAGCCTTCATCAAGAAGCGCTCCGATCTCGTGAACCACCCGCAAACCCAGCGCATGATAGAAAAGTACCCCAACCCAGCCGTGGGCGGCCTCCACGAGGTCGTCGTACGCCACTTTGCCAAGCAGATGGCCAGCGCTCTCGAGTTTCTGCGATCCAAGAACTACATCCATCGTGATCTGAAGCCCCAGAATCTGCTTCTCAATCCATCGTCCATATTCTACTCTCAGAGTGGAACTCTGGAACGCATGCCTCTGGCCGCCAGCGCAAACTCCTTGATACCCGCCACTGGCATTGCCTCGTTGCCCATGCTCAAGATTGCTGATTTCGGCTTCGCTAGGATTCTGCCAACTACCTCACTGGCCGAAACCCTCTGCGGCTCTCCCCTCTACATGGCACCAGAGATTCTGCGATATGAAAAGTACGATGCAAAGGCTGATCTGTGGTCCGTGGGAACCGTTCTCTTCGAAATGATGTGTGCTCGGCCACCATTTAGGGCCAACAACCACGTAGAATTGCTACGCAAAATCGAAGAGCGCAAGGATCAGGTCCGATTCCCAGAAGGTCTCGTCAGCAGCAGGGCCATGAAGACTCTCATTCGCGCACTCCTGAAGCGTAAGCCAACTGAGCGCATGTCTTATGAACATTTCTTCTCAGACCCGGTCATCCGTGATGAAATTCCAGACATGGTGGACGAAGACCTTCCTGGCTCCATGCAAGCTTCTGAGCGTATGCAAACCTCTGTACTAGAACCACCAATCGAGCCACCTAGGCGACTACAGAAAGCGCCTGTTGAAATGGATCCAAGGGCTGCTGATAATCCATACTCGCCATTGCCCAGAGACAGGACGATAGCCCCTGGCACAACGCCGCCTTCACGGCCCAGCTCTAGACCCGTTTCCGGTAACTTCTCTAGCACTCCACCGCAACACCTTTCTGCACGAAGGGCCAACAATGCCCCGGCCGATCCTAGCGACGAACGTAGGTCGACTCGCGAACACCGCCGACCCACTCTTACCAACGCGGCAACCGCACCAGGACGTACCGCTACACTGCAGGATCAGACCGCCGCACCCACTACCATCGGCCATAGGCGCAAATATTCTCGCGATGAGCAAGCATCGACACCTACCGGCCTCAAGGAGCACTTTGACCGCGAGCGGATCCCACAGAGAGCGGAAGCCAATGTACTGAAAGAAGCGGCAGAACGAGCTGCACAAGACAACGCGCTTGACGAGGGATTTGTATTTGTAGAGAAGCGCCGTGTGGAAATCGACGCACTCGCAGACGAGATTGCCAATAGCCCGCAAACACAACGAGATCGTCTCGTTCACCGAGAAGTTCCAATGAAGCGACGTTCGACAACACAAGGGTCCCCAACATCGATCACTGGCGCAGTCCCTTCCAAGGCCATCCAGATCCAACAAAAGCCAACCATTACCCACCAACGCACGGCTTCATACAGTCGGAGACAGTATCGTCCAAGTTTCGAAACCGCTACTTCTGCCTTGTCCAAGGCTATGAACATGGTCAACATTCGAGGGCTTGGTCTATCACCACCCGTCATGAAGGGCGTATCTCCCCCACAGGGCTATTCTGCATTTCCTGCGTATCCAACTGCGCAAAGCAGTATGTTGCTGGTCGGCGATGGAGGCAAAGTGGTGGGCAAGGACGAAGACACTAGTACGGTTAAAAGGATTGAAGATCTGGCGCAGCTCAGCCACGTTGTTTACGGCTTCGCAGAAGTCAAGTACAGCCAGCTCGTCCCAGTTGCACCAAGCGACCCGGCTCTAGGTATCGGCTCCACTGGCGTTGCTCGCAAGCCTAGTAGCGATGTAATTGACGACGAGGATGACGACGACGATGATCTGACGCCCGATACTGTTCTTATCATCTCTGAGGAAGCGTTGGTACTTTTTGTGAAAACGTTGGCGATGCTGAACAAGGCCATGGACTTGACCGGTAGTTACTGGAACCGAACTCGACGTAACAGCGGTCCTGACGGTGCAAGCCGAACTAATGCAAAACTTGGCCAAGTAGTCTCTTGGATGCGCGACCGATTCAACGAGTGCTGCGTCAAATCTGAGATAGTTGCACGCAAACTCAAGCAGGCACAGCAGCAGTTACCAGCAGACCATCCCAGTCATCCTCAGAATCAGTCAGCGGCATCTGGTTCTACGACTGCGGTTGGTTCTGCCGAGAATATTCTGCTTACAACTGGCGTCACGGCCGAAAAGCTGCTATACGATCGATCCCTAGAAATGAGCCGCCAGGCAGCCATTGATGAGCTTACTGGACACAATCTGGCCGACTGTGATATTAATTACTGGACTGCTATCACAATGCTTCAAGCTGTCTTGGAAGAAGAGGAAGATTCGCCCAACGACAAGGCAGATGCTGAGGAAATCAATGGTCTCGATGGTGAAGACCGACGCTCGATCCAGAAGCGTAAGTGCCGCTACAATGTCTTCCGAGGGATACACAGCTAACTGCTACAGTTCTCGAACAGATGAGAAGCCGCCAAAGAGCGCTGAAGAAAAAGCTTGATGTACTCAGGGCTCAAAAGCGCACCTCCATCACCAGTGCGCCCGCACCACACTCCGTCGGTCGCAGCTCGCCTTCTCAGGGTGTCGCAAAGTAGTTGCGCAGAGCACAGAGTGCTACACGTTTGCACACAACTTTACATTTACTGGCGTCTAGGAACAGGATGGTCTGCACGCCACTCTGGTTTGCTTTTATAGGTTTGATTTAGCTTTCTTTCTGTCTGGTTGGGGACAATGGCGCCTCATGGAGGGCTTCGGCGTACTCGCATGCATTCGCATATGATACCAGGAACTTGGGTAGCGATGATGTGCAGTTCCATTTCACTGTCGGGCGTTGTTTGAATTATATAGCGGGTCTGGGTTCAGGGCGCACGGCTTTGGCGGCGTTTCATCGTGTCACAGAATGATGTCTTGGGTCGTCTTGAGGAGCAGTTGTTGCGTTCATCTTAGACCGGCCCATAAGGCAAACGAACACGTATCGAACCCTAAGCAGTATTATCGATAGGAGAAGAATGAATATGGATTAATGTATCAAATCTGTCAAGCAAGTTGGTCATTTGGTTCAATCCCATTACACTTGCATTCCTTCATGTGCGATTAGGTATCAAAGCTAACCAGTGGGTGGGTCTGTACAATTCCCCCATTTTGAAAGCAATACAGCAACTGCTTCTCGTGCTCAGCCATCATGTTGATAGTCCCATCACCCGCGATTTCAAGAGATGGAGACACTGATAATCTTGATATCCTCCTCCGGCTTCTCCTTGTACACCTTGGTGTTCTCGATCTTGTGAATAACGTCCATACCTGCAATCGCCCTTCCAAAGATGGTGTGTTTGTTGTCGAGCCAGGGCTACACATAATTCACAGTCAGCGTGTCGCCTCATTGTTGGGTGATTGATGGTGAGAGAGAGAGAGTGAGTGAGAGAGAGAGAGAGAGAGAGAGAGAGAGAGAAAGAGAGAAAGAAAGGAGGGGGGATGGAGACTTACAGTCTTTTCAGTTGTAATGAAGAATTGACTTCCATTCGAATTTGGCCCAGCATTCGCCATGCTCACCGTATAGGGTTTGTCATGTTTCAAGTTGGAGAACTCGTCTGCAAATTCCTTGCCCCAGATACTCTCCCCGCCTGTACCGTCGCCAAGTGGGTCACCGGTTTGTATCATGAATTTGCGGATTACGCGGTGGAAGATGACGTTGTTGTAGTAGTTATTGCGCCCGTGGGTGACGAAATTCTCCACGGCCTTGGGCGCAGCGTCTGGGAAGAGGCGAATGGTGATGTCACCATAGGTAGTGTGAAGTGTTGCCGTCGTACCCGTCGCAGCGAGTGTTTTATCATTCTTTTGTTTATTGGCGCCAGCGGCACGAGGTTTCTCGTTCTGTACGTCACGGGTCGACTTGGTAGCGCTGGCATCGTTGGTGTACATGTAGAAGCGGACCTTGCCAGAACCTGTAGAGACCAGCATGGCGTCTCTCGCCTCGGCTTCTTGAAGCAGTGGGTTCTCGCTCGCTGCCATTTCGACCGTGACGACACCCTTTTTCTCTGGTTGACCTTGATAGAGACACAGCCATAGCGGTCGGATGGATTCTTCTTGGCCGTACAGCTTCACGAGCTTGTTAGTCAGCGTGTTGATGACTTTGACTCCGTACATGCTGCCATATAGGATGAAATTACTTGTCTCGTCAAATATGACATTCATGCGACCTCTTGTAGTAGGCTGGTCAAGCTCTCTCTCGATGGCTATCCGTCGACCAAACTCCATGTCCTCTAGGTGTTGGACAGCGGTGCCGGCCTGTTGCATGCTCGTGATGGTTTCAACTGATTCATCGTATGTGCGATAGAGTTTGCCCGTTGCAAAATCGAAGACGCGGACCTTTCGATCAGGAAAGGAAAAGGTGGCAAACTGCTTCCCAGAGGGGGATATGGTAAGCGACGAGGGCACACATTTTGACTTTTTGAACTCGAACAAGTTGGTGGAGCTCTTCAGCGACCATACGTTGTCTGGCTTTTCATAATTTCCATTGGGTCTCCAGTACTCGACCATACCCCCTTGATCGACGCTTACGACACAGTCGAATTCATTGTTGTATGCCATTATGCTGACCGACGCCCTGTGCACACTCTTGAGCGTTTGCAGAGGCTCCGGATTCTCCCCCCTGCCATCGTATATGCGGATCCAACCATTCTCTTCGGAGCTGACGGCGAGTTGAGGAAAGCTTGCGCCTCGGCCATGCAGCCAGCAAACCGCGCGAGGGGTATACTCGACGGTCAGCATGGCCAGGAGATCGAAGGTGACGACGTCAAAGATTTTGATCGTCTTGTCGGCGCCTGCAGTGGCAAAGCTACGGCCGTCGGCGCTCACGTTGACAGACTTGATTTCGCCATTGTGCGCCCTGAACTCCTTGACAAACTCTATACCGCCAAAGTCCTTCTTCCAAAACTTGACCACGCCGTCGACGGAGCTCGTTATGAGGAAGTCGGTGTGGGGCGTCAAAGTGGTAAAGCACAGTTGCTCGCGATGCATGAGTGATTTGGAGTAACGGGTTGCGCCGGGCAGTGCAGCGACATAGAGCTTTTCGTACGGCAGCTTGCGCTTTTTCCTCTTGGGCGCCGAGGAGGGGAGAGCCGGACCGAAGTCATCGTCGTCGGAGGAAGTATCGTCTACAGTGGGTGTGAGAAAGTTGGCGCGCGTGAGAGGTGCGGAATGGCAATACCGTCTTGAACTTGGGCCGCAGCTTCTCTTGCAGAGACGGCGCCGTCAGCCTCCATTTCGGCACGCGAGCGCTTTGCCTTGCTCGGCGACGGGGGCCCGTTGGCTTGCATCATGAAAAAGGTGCAGTGTGTTTGTCGTGGACGGATCGGTTGTCATAGGCAGGCTCGATGATGCAGGGTCGGAGCTTCCAACGACGCGCCGCGCTCTCTCACTTTCTCGGACCGTCTCCCGCATTCCGCAACAACACCAGCGATAGCACCAATACCATCGCCATCACCACCGACACTTCGCCCTCCCACCTTTCACCCGGACCAAGGCTGGAACTCGCCATCACTGACCGCACATAGCTTTACACCTCCACCTTGATCCCGCACCAAACCCGGCCGCCTTGCCATTACCGCCTCCCGCACCTGCTGCACCATTACAACTACATTCACAACCACACTCACATCCACCGCACAACCTCACCATGAGCGGAAGCGGCGACCAAGAGCGGGAACACGCCCTCGAAGCTTACAAGTCCAAGCTACTTGAGTCGAGAGAATGGGAGGCCAAGCTCAAGGCGCTGCGACTGGACATCAAGGGCCTCCAGCACGACTTTGACGTATCAGAAGACAACATCAAGGCGCTGCAGAGCGTCGGCCAGATAATAGGAGAGGTGCTGAAGCAGCTAGACGAGGAGCGATGTACGTGGGCATTTGCATCACCGAGAGAGACGCCACACTAACCTCCCCGCAGTCATTGTCAAGGCATCGTCAGGGCCCCGTTACGTCGTCGGATGCCGGTCAAAGGTCGACAAGGCCAAGCTCAAGCAAGGCACCCGCGTGGCTCTGGATATGACGACTCTTACCATAATGCGCATGCTCCCCCGCGAAGTCGATCCGCTCGTCTACAACATGTCGCTCGAAGACCCGGGTCAGGTTAGCTTTGGCGGTATCGGTGGTCTCAATGAGCAGATTAGAGAGCTACGTGAGGTGATTGAGCTGCCGTTGAAGAACCCAGAGCTGTTCCTGCGAGTAGGCATCAAGCCGCCAAAGGGAGTGCTGCTCTACGGTCCGCCAGGCACTGGCAAGACACTACTGGCACGTGCTGTGGCGAGCAGTCTCGAGACAAACTTCCTCAAGGTTGTCAGCTCGGCCATTGTCGACAAATACATTGGAGAGTCGGCGCGTCTGATCCGCGAGATGTTTGGTTACGCAAAGGAGCACGAGCCCTGCATCATCTTCATGGACGAGATCGATGCGATTGGTGGACGACGCTTCTCCGAGGGAACTTCAGCAGATCGTGAGATTCAGCGAACTCTCATGGAGCTGCTAAATCAGCTTGATGGTTTCGACTACCTAGGACAGACCAAGATCATCATGGCAACAAACCGACCAGACACGCTCGACCCTGCTCTTCTGCGCGCTGGTCGTCTGGACCGCAAGCTCGAAATCCCCCTGCCCAACGAAGTAGGACGTCTGGAGATTCTCAAAATCCACTCTGGCAGCGTAGTGACGGACGGAGAGATTGACTTTGAGAGCATTGTCAAGATGAGCGATGGCATGAACGGCGCCGATTTACGCAACGTTGTCACAGAAGCGTAAGTATCTTCTTCCCGTGTGACTACAGTATGGCTAACCTACCACAGTGGTCTCTTTGCCATCAAGGACTACCGAGACTCGATCAACCAGGACGACTTCAACAAGGCAGTGCGGAAGATGGCCGAGTCAAAGAAGCTCGAGGGCAAGCTAGACTACCAGAAGCTGTAGAACCATAGCCTAGACTTGGTTGATAATAATTCAAGAAAGAGCCATGAGCATCATGTACAATAGCGTCATAGGAAAGAGGCTGACATGGTCACACATCTGAAGTTACACTACGAAGTGGTGAATGAATTCACGTCACACTAAACTCACATCTCTGTAAAAGCCGACCTGCCGCACCGCAGAGGTTGTCGTGGTGCATTTGTTCAGTTACGCTTATGGTATGTACACTGACGTCATTCTTAGACTTGCCAACGTGAAAAAAGCTTATTGTGTTTGTTGGGGACAATATGGATTGATGGCGCAGGGAGTAAATGCTTTTCATCTCCATCTATTTGTACAGCCATAGTTCATAACAATCCACACAACACTCTGCTTCTACTGCAGGTATCTATGTTCCTGCAGCCACATCTTGACATCCTCCGCATCTCTCTCAAGCCATGCGGCTTTGGCACTGATGGCGTCGATGCTCTGAGACAGCGCCATATCGAAGCCCTTGGTGCTCTTGCTGCTGAAGAACGCCTGGATATCTTCAATGTGTTCCCGGTGAGTGAAGCCCGATGTTGTAATGGCAACAACCGAACTTAGCATGCTCAAGCTAGGAGGCAGCCTTCTCTCCAGCTCCGACCAGTTGTCCTTGACCCACTTCCAAAGCGCGTGACAGCCCTCTGCGTGTGACCTTAAGGCAGCAATGGGCAGGTAGATGTCTTGGCCCTTGACTTCGTCACTGAGGGCCATGGCGAGCGTGCGCTGGATGAGCTCTGGCGACTTGGCACGACCGAGCGCGCGAAGAGCCGAGTTGCGTTCGTCACTTGTGGCAGCGTTTCGTGTCTCGTTGACAATGACGTCGTACTGAGCAAGGTTAGTTCAGATTTCACATATCGCAGTTCAACGACTTACTTCTTCTTGCCCACCATTCGCCAACACAATAGCATATACGCTGCCGCGGATGTTGGGGTGGATGGCAGACTTGTCGCCTGCTTTGAACTTCTCAAACATGTCGAATGATGCCTTGGTAATCTTCTCGTCTCCGGCGATACCGGCAGCACCGAACATGAGACCCTTGAATTGTTGCTCGATATGGCCGTCTTTTTCATCAAACGTCCATCCCAGCTCATGTGCCTTCTCGGCACTGAGCTCTAACTGGAACTTCTTCAGAGCATCCCTGATCTTCTGGTCCTCGAACATCCATGCGCCCCGGAGGGAACCAATGCGACCAGTAATCTCCCCCCAAACGACGAACTCTGCCTCATGTTTGAAGCTGTCCAGGAGCGAGAGAATGCCAGACGTCTTTTGATAGCCAGACGCGGCCAGCGAGCCAGCATCAGCAATCATACCAGCTCTGTCCTCAACAGTCAAGAGGCCCTCCTTGGCCGAGATTCCAAGTTTCCTCAATCTCTCTGGCGTGTATGAGGTCCGGTAAAGACCAGAGTGGTCTGCGTTGAGCTTGAAGAAGTCGAGGTCCTTGAGCTTGAAGTCGGCTTCGCGATCGAAAAGCGTCAAGTCCTCGTCAACCCCTTCTTTAGTCCGCAGCGCGAGAAAGACTGGATACAGGGTCTGGTCTTCTTCTGGCTTGACGTCGGCTGTACGGAGGAAGCGGTTTTGCTTGAGGTGGATAGAGTCGGCGCCCTCGGTCACGGTAACGACTGGGAATCCGACCTTTTTGGTCCAGATATCCATGACCTTGCCAACGTCTTTGCCACTGGCATCAGCCAAGGCAGCCCACAGGTCGCCGGTCTCCGTGTTGCCATAGGCGTGCTTCTTAAGGTAGCGGCGAATACCCTCCATGAAGGTGTCCTCTCCGACATATTTGGAAATCATGCGAATGACACTAGAGCCCTTGGAGTAGGAGATGGCGTCGAAAATCTGATTGATCTCGTCTGCACGCTTCACAGGCACCTCAATGGGATGACTGCTGCGTAGAGAGTCGAGCGAGAGTGCGCTAGCCAGGTTGTCCGTAACATAACCTTCCCAGACCTTCCAGTCGGGGTAGAAGACATTGCAGGAGTACCACGACATCCAGGTTGCGAATCCCTCGTTAAGCCACAAGCCGTCCCAGAAGTCCATGGTTACGAGATTGCCGAACCATTGATGCGCGAGCTCGTGCTGCACCGTCTCGGCAACGCGCTGCTTGGTAGCAGCACCACTGACCTTTTCGTCAATAAGCACATCTACAACGCGGTAGGTGACGAGGCCCCAGTTTTCCATGGCACCTGCACTAAAGTCGGGAATAGCAACCATGTCCATCTTAGGGAGCGGGAAGGGACTGTCAAAGGTCTTCTCGTAAAACTCCAGCGTCTTTGCGGCCAGCTCGAGCGAGAACCGGCCATGCTCAATGTCTCGGTCCTTTGGAGCATAGACTCGTACAGGGACGCGGAAGTTGTTCGTCTCGATGTAGTTGAGCTCGCCGACGATGAAGCACAGGAGGTATGTTGACATGAGGGGCGTCGGATTGAAGGTGACGGCCTTGCGCTTTCCGCCCGAGATGGTGCTGTCGACTTGCTTCTCCGACGCCACGTCCATGTTGCTGAGACAGGTCATCTTGTCATCGGCGATGAGCGTGACGGTGAACTTGGCCTTGAGGGCCGGCTCGTCGAAGCAGGGGAACGCCCGCCTGGCATCCGTGGGCTCCATCTGGCTGGTCGCCATGTATGTGGTCGAGCCGTCGGCGGCCTTGAAGGACGAGCGGTAGAAGCCGGCCATGTTGTCGTTGAGGACGCCGGAGAAGGTCATGGTAAGCTTCGCCTTGCTGCCGCCAGGGATGGTCTGGTCGAAGCTGACTTTGGTCGTCTGCGCATCGTCGTCGGTGGTGACATTGGGCGATTCGGTGATGACTTGCTGGCCAGCCGTGACCTTGGTCGAGTGGATCTTGAGCTCGTTGGTGTTGAGGGAAATCGAGGTAGTGTCGTCGACGACGTCTAGACTGGCGTGGTGTCAGCGGGCGTCTTGTCGTGCAAGATGCGCATGTGCCTACTCGATGGTGACGGTGCCTTGGTAGGTAAACTTGGCAAAGTCTGGCTCCAGCGTCAAGTCATAGTGAATAGGCTTGACATTGACAGGCAGCACCTCACGGCCCTTGGTGATGTCAATGGACGAGTGGCCCTCGGCGCCAAAGTGCTTGCACATGTTTCGTCGATGGGAACAGTGCCTCACAGTGACAAAGGCAGGGTGTCGGGAGGATGGAGGGGAGCGGAGAGATGGTGTCGGCGAGGCAGCGGGGTAACGAGGGAGGCGAGTGTTTGACGTGAGCGTGTGCAAGAGGTTCCGACGCGGCTTCAGTCGACTGGGACTGCAGCAAGGAGCGGTGACGGGTCTTGACACCAGGAGACGGCCATGATGGGTGAAGCGGTGCATCTAGCTTCTCGTCTGCTGCAGCGCGACGTGCATACAATACCAAGGGACCCAGGTAGAAAGAAGCACGGAAAATGCTCAAGCACACTAACTCAATGGCAGCCCCAAAGGCACTAGCAACCTTTTGTTTCTATCAGCACGCTGCTTTAGAAGCGCACACAGTGAGACGGGCAGAGTTCTTCTCCAAGGGCCCTCTTGTTGATGTTGATGTTGCGCACCACATATGGCCTAGTGGAACGTTCCGCTAGCCGGTATATAAACCTTGCCGACTTGCTCAAAGACTTTTCTATTCAACACGCAAGAAAGTCCTCCCAGCGTCACCCTCTCCGCAGAGACGCTGTGTGTTCTGGCAATACAGCCAGTTCTTGCTAGAGAAGACCTAGCCCTCGTTTGAGCCCTTTCGCAATTCCTGCATGAGTGAAAGGGTATAGAAGTAGGGTCACATGACAATGCTGTGCGTGTTGCTGTCGGCGTTGGACAGAGCAAGTAGCGCAGTCGCAACTCGTACTCTTAGGTGAATGATGTTCCGACGTATATCTCAGCATGACGATAGACAGGCGTGTATAAAGACGTTTGTTTCGGAGTTTTGGAGAAATGTAGGGCTCCGAGTACGAAGGGCTCCTACTACGAAGAAGCTCTTGTTCTCCATGTCGTACCCTGGCTATACTAGCATACATGACATTCTACATTGAATGCCCAGGATAGTGCTTAATTGCTGATGGTCTGCGGTAACCTCCCTCCTACCACGACTTAGACATGTTGGACGTGAGCAAAAAAATACCATGCTGATGGGTTACAACAAAACGACAAAAACATACAACAGCGGGGATTCGCTAGTGGTCACCCACCTAACTACTAATCCGCCGGTACACTGCTTGTATATGGCTGAGCGGACGGGAAGCCTAATTTTCAGTGTCCTATGGTCGTATGTAGAAGAAAGAAGTTAAAATATGTATATAATGGTGATGCCACGCGATACTATCTGCCCCAACCACGAGCTTTAACGTTTCAATAAGAGACCAGAATAACCGGACGGATAAAGCATAAGGCTGTGAGTACTTCTAAAGTTTCAAATTCTAGAAACCCGAAGGTGGAAGGAGCGACCATTCGAAGGTGGAAGGAGCAGCCAATCGCAGCTGCCTTATGTTAGCAACCATAATAGGCAGGCGCTAGTGGAAATTGATGATCCGGCCAGTGTCTCCCGCACCTACTCCCAGCATCACCACCGCCGACAACGACAACCCATTGATCCAGTCTCCCTCCTGCTCCGAGCCAGCTTCACATGACCATGTTGGCTCGCTCAGCACTGCGTACGGCACGCTCCGCCGCTGCCACGGCCCGCAATGCCTCCAGCAAACCGGTACGCCTCCCGCATGGCCCAAGAAACCCCGACAGCTCGCGCGAGCTTCATCGACACCATCTCTCGCCGGGCTGCAATACAAGGGCTTGTCCCGCCTCAATTGAATAATCTGGCTGACGGAATGGGTGATACAGCGCTTTGCCTCGACATCGAGCTCTGCCGACGGCGCCGCCTCGGCATGGAAGAACAACGCCCTCCCCGCAGGCGCCACCATCTTCGCCGTTGGTTCGACTGCCTGGTACTGGCATCTCTACGGACGCCAGGTTGATGCCATGACCCCAGCCGAAGAAGGGTGAGTGCGCCAAAGATGATCCGACCGCAAGTCATGTACTGACGCTATGCTTCTACAGTCTCCACCCAACTCAATACCCGTGGGAGCACGAGAAGTGGTCCAAGACCTTCGACCATGGAGCGTACGTCCTTCCCGTCCTACCGCACATGCGCATCCCCTAATCTGTCACAGTCTCCGCCGTGGCTTCCAGGTCTACCGTGAGGTCTGCGCCTCCTGCCACTCCATCTCCCGTGTGCCTTACCGCGCCGTCGTCGGAAAGTTCATGACAGTCGATGAGGCCAAGGCGCTCGCCGAGGAGAACGAGTACGACACAGAGCCCAACGACCAGGGCGAGATTGAGAAGCGCCCCGGAAAGCTCTCCGACTACATGCCTGCCCCCTACAAGAACGACGAGGCCGCCCGCGCTGCCAACAACGGTGCTCTACCCCCCGATCTATCGCTCATGGTCAAGGCCCGCCACGGCGGCTGCAACTACATCTTCAGCTTGTTGACTGGTTACCCCGAGGAGCCACCTGCCGGTGCCGTTGTCCAAGAAGGCCTCAACTTCAACCCCTACTTCCCCGGTACCGGAATTGCCATGGCCCGTGTTCTGTACGACGACTTGGTTGAGTACGATGATGGCACCAAGGCTTCGACCTCGCAGATGGCCAAGGACGTGGTTGAGTTCCTCAACTGGACCGCTGAGCCTGAGATGGACGACCGCAAGAAGATGGGCTGGAAGGTTCTCGCTGTCACCAGTGTTCTGTTCGCGCTCAGTGTTTGGGTCAAGAGGCAAGTCTCCGCACCTCACCATTACAACTCGAAACTAACAATCACGACAGGTACAAGTGGGCACCGCTAAAGACACGGAAGATTGTCTACCAGCCACCACAAAACAAGAGCATCCTCGACCAACTCCCCAAGCCAAACAACTCTGGCAAGACGAACCAATAAACATTGGGTGGTTTTGCATTTGCGCGGTTCAGGAGAGCGGGTAGCGGAAGCGTGTGTTCTATATCGTGTACATTGCCAGGTACTTCCAACAATCAGATTTCTTTGCCTCGTGACATACAGTCCCGTGCTCTTCATGTCGCTTGTTTTGGACATGCTTGTCTTTCAGTCCCCGTAGGATAGTTTTCTTGCAAACCCAGTAGCATCCGCTATCCCACCATGTATATCCATAGACCGCAGTTCCACTTCCCCGAAATAGTTAGGCTCGCTGACCTGACTGAAGCACAACGATTTGAATAGCTTGATACTCCGGGTGTTGTCTTTGTCAATCTTGACCCTCAAGTAGCTTAGAGACTTCAGCTTGCCCGTGTCATTTGTTCCTTTTGCGTACTCCTCCAGAATAGCCGGTAACGATGTGGATATGTACCAGATGAATGCCTGCAGGGCTTCTTTCGCAAGTCCCTTGCCTCGGGCGCTAGGTCGAGCAATCATAATCTCCAACTCGCCGACCATGTCCACCTTCTCTGTCCCACAGCCTTCCTGTTGCTCTACGTCATCACCTTCCTCACACGGATAGAGGAACAGGTTCACGTCCCCTACCATGCGGTCGGGTGCATCTTCCGTTTCGGGAGAGACCTTGACCATAGTGGAAAGATCCGATGGTGCTGTTGGCGTGTTCGGTGAGGTGCAGATAATAAAGGTCAATTTATCCGCATCCTGACGCCACGACGCTTGCATGGCGTACTCCTCCTGGAGCGTCAGTGGCTCGGATGCGGTAAGCTTCTGCAACTCCTGCGTCCCAGTCAGTCCTGGGAAATATCCCAACAGTGCGAAGTATGGTGGGCTCTTGGTATACCTCATCTTGCATCCATTCGTGGTATGTGGGGACGTGGTGAGAACTGTACGGAACAAGAAGAAGGCGGGGTGTAAGGATAGCTGAAAAAAGTCAGCATCACAATGTGGAGCGGTACTTTTGCGATATATACCCTGGTGTTCGTTAACCTTCATCGTGGTGGTGGTCGTCGGGTAATTTTTTCGAATTTTCAATATCCTTCTTCAACGTGACGGCGATGGAACACCATGAAGATATGATCTAGGCGAAAGACTAAGAAATCTGGTGTTCACACCGAAACCATACGTGCTCAAGTGTTTCGTTTGTCCGGAGTTCAAATATTTTGTGGTAAATATTATGTGTCGTAGTTGGAGGATACCAATTGTGCTGATTTACGCCGCAGTCAAGATCATTTGCCCGGACACCAACGATGGGACCGGGTTCAGGCGATAACCTGCACAAATTCATACAGTCCAACAATCACTACCTAGTTCATTCTTGTTTGGTTCTAGTGCGGAACATGCATAGTTCCTTACTTGAAATGTCTCGTGGAAGTGCATTTTTGCGCGAGACATCCAGCGGGAAAGCATTGGGCAATGCTTGGATGCGACACGCGCCTCGTCATGTCTTACTCTCTCATAGACCCGACGTCACATCCTACCAACAACAACCGTACGCGGTCGTATGAGTGGATCCGCTGCAGATACTGCAAATACGAAGCTCTATGCTTCCATGCTGTTAAGACAGATCGACTGGAATGCGCTCAAAGAAAGAAACGCGTCCGACGTCAACAACACTAATCTGCACCACACACAGCGTCTCTGAGGATTCCTCAAACGTCAAGAAATGGATCCAACCCGCGTTCTGGTGACAGGCGGCTGTGGATTCCTAGGTACTGCCATCGTCTCCGCACTCTTACGCAGCAAGAGATACTCCATCACGGTCATAGACGTCAATCCGCCCTCGCTTGGCAGCGACACCTTCACCAATAGCGTACGCTATGTCCGCTGCAACATCATGGACTCATCTTCTCTGTCCAGTGTTTTTTCCGAAGCTCGACCTGCTGTCGTCATTCACACAGTGGGTGTCTTCCCTCTAGGCACGAAGCGATACTCCATGCGGGGCAAAGACGCCATCTTCAAGATCAACGTCGAGGGAACAAGGAATGTTGTTGAAGCAAGCAGGGAGTGTGGTGCAAAGGCTTTTGTGTACACGAGTAGTGTGACTGTTGTTCTGGATGAATTGGATCGCGATTTCAGGAACGTAGATGAACGTTGGCCCACAGGTGGTGTGCACACGAGCTACGGACAGAGCAAGGTAACTGATTTCCTCTTTTGTTGTGTTTCCCTTGACTGTTCCTTGGAAAGCGCCTGTTCTCTCTTGAATCACCTTGTTTCATGCCAGTTTTCACACCAGAAGTTCTCAACTATTCATTTCGCTCACATGAAGTACTGCCTCCTAGCCACCGTAACATCTCTCATTCAAAATCATCTACCCAAACTTTGGAAAGGAATGGAAAAGAAGAAGCAGAAACTCACTCGTAGTAGGCACTCGCAGAATCCATTGTTCTTTCCGCAAATACGCACGACTTCGCGACTTGTGCTCTGCGTTCGGCCCCCATCTTTGGCCGCAATGACACCGTGTGCATCCCCACAATACACTCGTGTATCTCAGCGTACCAAACGCCCTTCATCCTAGGCACAGGAACCAACCTGCAAGATTTTGTTTATATAGAAAACGTAGCAGACGCACATGTCCTCGCCGTCGGCAATCTGCTAAATTCGCAAACTGCTGCTGGTGAAGCCATGTTCATTACCAATGGCGAGCCTGTCACAGCGAGGGCCTTGTGTCTAGCAGTATGGAAGGAATTCGGTCATGTTCCAAGGTTCCACGTTAGAGTTCCGGAAGGGTTGACGTGGTGTTTGGGTTACTGTGCTGAATGGGTTAGTTGGATGACGGGGACAGAAGGAGTGCTTAGTCGGGGTATTGTGAGTGACGGATGTCGCGATCGCTATGTCAGTATTTCAAAAGCAAGATTGTTGTTGGGTTACAAACCTCGAGTCGGCTTGGAAGAGGGTTTGAGAATCAGCTGTGAGGTAAGTTGAAGCAAAAACTGCGTAGGTCGAGCGGATGTGAAGAGCAAGGAATGCTAACTTGGTCTAGCATTACAAGGCGAAGTTGGGAGGAAGGAGGAAGAATTAATCCAAGACACACCGGGCCATAGTGAGCGTGGTTGTGTCATATGAAATCGACCGTCTGAACCTTTCTCTCTCCGATAAGGGATGAGTGATGCAAGAGCTGTTGCATTCACGATTGTTGTAAAAAGAACGTGTTGAGATGAATCATCGTATGCCATTGTTCGTCATAGGTTGTATGGTTCGGGAAATCATTTCCCAGCAAGTTCATTCGAGTTACTATCATACTCGTCTCTACTCATTCAACTACCTAATTCACGACCTCTTCGGTCTCATCGATGATCTCCTCTACAATCTCCTCAATCTCTTCCTGGTGCCCATCATCCGCCTGACCAGGCGTCTCTCCCTTGAGGGTTGCCAGCTCGAGGTCGGCTCCTTCGTCGCGCAACCTCTCAGTGACCTCCTCGCGCCATCTGCGCCACTCATCTAGCATCTCGCGACGAGCTTCCACCACAGCCTTGTTGGCGGAGCTCTTCTTGGCGACGTCTTGCTCATCAAAGACCTTGGAGTAGTTGCGCAGGTTCTTGCGAATTTCGGCCTGCTCCTCCTTAGAGAGAAGGGTCGGGGGGCGTGGGCGCCAGAGGAGCTGCTTGAAGCCTTCGATGGCTTCTTCGCGGAGGAGTGTACCCTTGAAGTCATAGAGGTGATAACCGTTCTCCATCTAGTGGGTGTTAGCAGAAGCAAAAGGACGTGACGGTAAAGATACATACGCGATGACGGAAAGCACTGGCAACGGTGGCGACGTAGCGGCCGGTAGGGTCCCACTCAATGTCGGTTACACCGTAGTGCTCGGCTGTATCCATGAGCTGCAGGTTGGCGTTAACTTCCTTGTCACCCTTCTCAGACTCCTCCTTGGGCCTGTCGAAGCTCATGTCCCAGAACTCGAGTTCAAAAGACTGCTGAGACTGGAGAGCGGCGACAACAACGAATCGTCCCTTGGGTGACCAGTAGATGGCGTTGCTGTTCTTCTTGTCAATGGTTCGGATGTGACGGAAGTTGCCAGGTGCGCCGCCCTTGAGCTTCTCGGGGGCGAAGAAAGAGACGGCAGTCTTGGGACCCACAGCAGCGCCCTGAATGACTTCGCCAGTGGTGATGAGCACGAAGCGGTTGCCCTTGGGTTCCCAGGCAAAGTTGATAACAGTGTCCTTGATCGAATCGACGACTTCAACAGGCACACCCTTTTCGCGGACACGGAAGATCTCCAGGTTGGTGGCGAGGGACTTCTTGGACTTGGAGTGGCGGTCGACCTTGACACAGACGTAGGCAGCTTCGGATTGCCAGTGCAGCTTCGCATCAGAGACGTTGAACAGATTTCGCGTGCGCACAATCTCTTTTGAGGGAACGGACATGAGACCGACCTTGGCGGGATTGCTACCGAGCTCGGGTGTCCAGTAGCAGAAGAGCTGCTCGTATGTCTTGATACCTTCTCTCCGGGGTGTTGCTGGAGCCCATTCAAAGTCCATGACGCCCTCGATCTTGACCGAGGTCTTGTCGAGAAGGTTCATGCGCGGCAGCTCGTAGATGGAGATGGATTGGCCCTGGGTCATACGTGCGACATACTTGTCGTCGGAAGACCACTTGAATGTCGGCCACTGCAGCTTCTTCTTGACGGGGTTACCATCGGCGTCGGTGCCACCGGGTACATCGATGGTCGCAAAGGAGCGCAGGGGCTTGCCTGTGGCGATGTCCCAGATAATGTAGTTCTTGCCGTCCTCCTCGAGCGAGAGCGATGGGACCGGGTGGTTCTCGTCGACCTGGAGTGGGCGGTGGGACCAGGTGGTGAGGTACTTTTCGCTGGGCGAGAAGTCGACGAGATTGACGCCGGGATGGGCGAATCGCTTCTGCCTGCTCCATGCCTTGCCACCCCACAGCTGGACACCTTGGGCGTGCATGGAGGTGAGGTAGGTTCCCTGGGGCGACCACTGGATGAAGGACTCGGTCCAGTTCTCGCGGTCGACAACCTGCTCGGGCTGGTCTTCCTTTTCGTTCCAGAACACGCCAACCTTCTCCTGGCGGTACATGGCCATCTGATCGCGGCTGTCGGCGTCGCCTAGCCACCACCTCAGGTGCTCCTTCTGCTCAAATGGCGGGATCTCGGGTGCGTGGTATTCCTCGTCGATGCGGCCCTCCTTGCCGTAGCGGTCGATGTCGGTGAGCTTGTTGACAGCCATGGTGTGTTTCTTGTCGAGCGCAGTTCCGTTCAGCTGCTTGACGGCCGCGACCGCCTCTGCGGGTGCGCTGTATTCGACAAAGGCATATCTGTGATGCCGTCAGCCTAGGTCCAGTCTGCCATTGCCCGCGGCGCCAGATGCAACATACCCTTCCGTCTTGCCTGCCTCGCCGACGGGCATGTGCACGCCGTCGTCCTTGACCTTGCCCACGCTGTTCAGCTTCCTCAGCACAAACTTGACGAGCTTGGCCTTGCTGTCCTCGGGGACTATGGGCAATCCATCGATCACGACAAAGGCATCGAGCCCCTCGTCGAGCCGCACCTGGAACTGGTCTTCGATGTCGGTAAAGTCGATTTGGCTCTCGTCGAATTCGTCGTCGCCGTCCATGGGCAGGTTCGAGTATGCGGACGCCATGATTGCGGTAGTGAGTGCGTTCGCAGTTGTGGCGGCGGGGTGCGTGCGGTTATAACTTTCAAAGTAATTTTGGTTTCGCGCACAGACACGGTAGTGGTAGTGGGGTCGTTAAGGACCGCTATTCCGGCTCACAGCCTTTGCATCTCACAACGTCGTGACTCTCATGCTCTGCCATTACTCATTACACTATACACACAGCACGCCAAAAAATATGACTCCAAGGTCGCTGAGTCAACTCTGACTCTCAGAAGAACAAGCCAATCGCCGTTCACTGCGAACATGGTACAATGCATCAAAGGCCACACATACACGCATTCCCAACAGCACTGCGCCTCCATCCAACCTGGACTAGATTGCACTCATCTCCTCGTCGCGTCGATGGCAACGTCTTCAACCCGTTGACGCCCATCGCACAAGTCCACACGCCGCCCAGGGAAGGTATACGCTAGAAGAACAGAAAACAAATAAGCATCAGCTAGCCCTACGAGCCGCGCTTACCTTCACCCAAATCCATGTTCGGGGTTTTGACCAACCTTCCGCTTGCCGAGACTCGCTTTTGCAGTCGTGCGTCCCGTTCACGCGCCCGTTCTGATGGAGAGCTGCCGTTGCCTGCCATGATAGGCGGCAAGGACGGCAGTTTTTCTACGTTGGGTGGGGGCTGACTTCCCACCATAGGTGCTGGACGTTTGCCCGCACGTTGCTCTGTCTTGAAGTCAAGATAGCTTCGTGCCGAGTGCCCAAGCGGGATGGGTGCAGGCAGCATCGGTAATTCTGCGCCGTTTTGCAACAGTAGCTCAGCGACGGGGAAGGCTTTGCGGGTAGGCTGTGCTGTGCCTGGGCGAGTGGCTGAGCCTGGAGAGCTTGCAGGTGATGCTGTCGCTGAAGGCGATGCTGGGTCGGCGGCTGCAAGCGCGAGAAATACTGCGTGTGTGCCTCGTGACCGATCGCGCGCATTGGCATTCGCTCGGAGTGCCAGCGCGTAGAGTACGTTCTGGATGTCGTTTTTCTTAACCGACGCTAACAGCGTCTCCTCTGGATTTGCATAGTGTGACATGTTTGGTGTTATGGGTGCCACGAATGCCCGATCAGCATACTTTGACGTGATGAAGTGCAGCCTTTGCTCTCTTGTCGACATTGGCCCTGGCTTCAGCCCTGGGTCTAGCCTTGCTTCCCAGATAGCATTGCTGATGCGGTTGCCGACCTTGAGCAGTATCTCGATGATATCGGGAGTAAAGGACGTAACGTCCAACGTTAAAGAGCGGACCTTTGTGATGTGCGTGCCTAGTGACCGATGGATACCACTGCACTCAATACAGATGATGATGCCGAGATTGATGGAAACCCAATCAACTTTGATCTCAGTACCGCAATCCGCGCACATCTTGTTGCCAGCATCCGCATCTCGTACTTGCTTGAGCAGCTTGCCTTCGTCGCCAAACGTCTCTTCTCGTCGGTAACCGCCAGGCCGATCGCCCACTGTAGCATGTCGCGCGGGTGCCTTGGAGCCGTATGTGTTGCGATGGCTTGACATTGATGGACTCTTGCCGGTAAGCACTGACGCGATGTCGCGATGTGTTTGTCCAGGCAGCGAGTCGGTTGATGGCCGGTCGGGCTTTCCTGCTGCCTCAACGGCTGTCTGCAAAGCATTGTTGACTGCACTGATCCATGACTTCATGTCTTCTTCGTTGGTTGCCTGATACACTCGAGTGTATTGTGGGGTGATGACTTCGAAACAAAACCGACGGTCCGCGTTACGCGCTTCCCTTACCGAAGCCATGCGAAGGTCGATTGGCTCCATATGGAGCTCCAGACTTTGCTTCCAGTTGGTATACTCTGAGAGTCTGCCCTGATCAAGCACGATCCAGAATCTGGACATTGTCAGCATCGTTCATTCAGTTTCGACAAAATGTACTCACTTGTGCCAGGCTTGCTTGTTCAAGCCCTTGGGATCCACATGGCTTCCAGGCCTGCTCAGTGCCCACAAAAGACCTTCTTTGCGATGTGCGCCTGAACCAGCTTCGGCCATTGCAGCAGGATCCTTTTCTTCAAGGTCTCTGATTCCTTTGAACTTGTCCGGCTGTGACGCCACCATGGCTAGAGTCGCTTTGGTAGCCTCAGGGCTTTGTGGTAATGCTATTGAGGAGGGAATGCTTGTAGATGAGATAGTCTGAGGAGGCATGACTGTACTCTGGAACATGGGCACAAGGCTACCCTTGCGGCCAGGAGGCGGCTCTGGGTCGGATCTTGACATTGTCCGGGGTACGCTACTCGATGATGCCGCGGGAGAAGTGAGCGAAGGCGCAGGCACATCGTCGAAAGTCTTCTTGATCGTCTCGAGTGCTCGCCTCTTCTCCTCTCTTTCGGTCCTCTGAATCTGAAACTCCTTGTCTGCTTCTTTCACCTCGCAACTCAGGGCCTCTAGATGTGGCAACATGGTCTCGATCTTCTTTGCAGTCTCTAGGTAGCGCTTGGCCTGGGCATCGGCATATCGCGTGAGATGGGAGAGGACTTCTTGATCTTTCCGGCCCCCGTGCAGATCCTGCATAAAGGACGAGTAGTCGAAGCGCTTCAGTTCGAAGTTCCGCCTCTTTGCTTGGTATTTGGAATCGGTCTCTGCGCGTTTCTTCTCTTTCAGTGAGTCCTGTCGTTGCCCAAGGTATCTTCCCAGATACTGGTAGTAGTCCTTGCTCTCCTCCTCAAAGTCTTTCCGCTTTGTCTCGGCCTGCTTGATGTCGATGTTGTAAAGCTTGTATA